CAATAGGTTCAATATTTATAGTATAAAACATCTAACAGCTTAGTGAAATATTGATGGAGTATCAAGCACCCTAAGTAGAACTGTCCTAAGGTATGTCATTCCCTTATAAAACCAAGGATCTTAAGTATCATAAGTTTGACTCACCTTCTGTAGTTTTTTAAAAGATGATGCCTTCATGTTTTCTGACAATTTAACTGAAAAATACTATTAATTTTATTAAGGAACAAATATGCAACTAAGATGAAAGAAGACACACACCTTCTGAATTCACGTAAAATTTTTAAAACAAGGTTAGAATATATGGGCATACATAAGAAAGGTAAGAATGAGTTAGTTTCTAAGAAGGAAAAAAAAAAACAACTTCCAATTCTACCATACTATTCCAATGGCACCATCATATTCAAACTAAGCAACTTAATCCTATAGCACAAATCTAAATGGCCATAATTTCTAGAACTTTCCAAAAAGGAAGTTACCTTTCCAAGGCCTATCATTTTACTACATATGGATGAATACAGTCTCCCCTCTTGATTCTCCTTCATGGTCCAATCTGTAGCAATACTGTGTAACTTAAAAAAGCCACAAGTTTAATCTACACTTAATTGCCTCAGAAAAATACAAACAGTAACCTCTGAAAGAGATTACTAGGTCTTCCAATCAAAAAGGATACAAAATCTCTAAGTTGTCCAAATATTTCATCCACTTTTCCAATTTGTTCTTTGTTTTCTAAATAAACAGGAGCATTGAAATAAGGTACCTTATTTTCATCTGTGGTACATTTACAAACTATGTCATCTTCACAGGGATGCAGGAACTCTCCTAATACTGAAATAGGACAAGAAAATATAGAAATATAGAACTATTTCAAATGCTACTGACCAACCTCTTCTGGAAGCTTTCTTCTTGGCTACCTGGGACTTCAACCTATCTGTTCTCCTCTGAGGCAGAAGAGCATCATCATTAAGAGCGTGGACTTCCTGGATTGGTGTACCAACTCCACAGCTAGCTTTGTGACCTGGGGGAAGTTACTCACCCTCCCTCTGCTTCAGTGTCCACATCTTTAATATAGGGCTAGTAACATACAACGTGTATCCTAGACCTACTACGTATCATTGTAAGGACTAAGTGGCATAACAAACGTCAAATGCTTAGAACAGTGCCTGGCATATTGAGACCATTCAACCTATAACGGTCATCTTATTATAGTAACTATGACTATCTGATTTAAACACTATGCCTCAGTCTCTTGGTTCTTCTTTTCCTCACCCCCCCACCTGTGAATCACCTTTTGTTCTTTTCTTTTTTTCTCCTGCCTTAGAACTTTCCCATTTCCACCACCACCTCTTTACGATGATTCTTAATCTTTTTCAGGGAAGTCTGAATCTCAAAATAACTACCTTTATTTCTAACTGACTAGACTGTCACCCCAAATGAAAATATTCATCACTTTCCTACAAAAGCAACTCTCCACCCCTATCATCCAAGTTCAAAACCTGGAAACTTTTATTCTCAGTCTTAGCCAAATTCTACTGATCTTGTTTCCTTTGAAAGCGCTCTCCTATATAACCCTTCCCACCCCTCCCTTTTTCCCCTCAATGCCATCATCCTAAATCAGACTCTCGATGTCTTACATATAAACTGCTGCAATAGCTTGTGGGCTGGGACCTCTGACTCTAGCCATTGTTCCCTTCAAACTATCCAGCATTCTGATCCAATCCACTCTTAATTAGACACTGTTCATCCTCTCTCCTCTTGAATGTAGGTTCCTACTAACAAACCTGTCTTACTTTCCAAGACTTCCATCCCACTTCATTGATAATTACTCCAAAACTACTCTAAATAGGTCTTGTTCTTGACCTCCCCTTACTGTAGTTTCCCTCCCAAGCTAAGTTTTTTCCTCACTTCTCTTACTTCTGGGTAGTAATTCAAAGCATGGGTTTTGAAGTCAGAAAACTTGGCTCTGTATTTCAACTGTATCACTTACCGATCACTTACCACTAAGCTTATGAAACTTAACCCTGAATCAGTTTTCTCATTTGTAAAATGAGGAAAATAACAGTAAGTATTCAATATTGCCGATTTAATATCTTCCTGTCAGCCCAAACTCAAGTTCCACCTCCCTGATGCATTTTAAGTGTCCTGTGGCTTCCTTGATCGCCCCTTTACGTGCTACCATAGGATTATCAGTCAGTTTACAGCATTCTGCACACAGACTTTTGTCTCCCCAGCCAAGCTGCAACCTCTCTAGAAGGGCCGCTGGATCTATCCTTCAGTATCCGACTTGCAGTCAAACTTGCTAATAACACAAACCCAAAACCCATCCCCACGCCCCCAAGTGGGCTAAGCTTTGAAGACGACATACAGACTACACGTTCTGGAGGTCCTTGGTCTTGGCCTTTGTTAAAGCCTCCGCGGCCACCCCCTCGTCCAAATCCTCCCCTGCCGCCGCCGCCGCCTCGGAAACTGCCGCCGCCTCCACCTCGGAAGTGGTTGTTGCTGCTGCCGCCGCGGTTGAAGCCTCCGCCTCCACCACCTCGATTAAAGCCTCCACGACCTCCACCTCGAAAAGACATCCTCTCTCCCACCTGGTGAAAAAAAACGGTCCGTGGCTTCAGATCACTGTGGCCCCTGAGTACACCGCCAACCCCTTGGAGACTCGGTCAGAACACCATAAAAGGGGACAACGATAGCAGCCTGGCCACCTCACCCACTGCCGGACCGCCAGTCATGAACCTGGAAAGTGAAAAGTGTTACTTCCTCAACGCCTTGTGAGCGCCGGCCGACCGAACACACACCAGCTTCGCTGCCCCTGCGTTAGTACCTCCTCCCCGAGCAGACGTCAAGAAGGTCTTCACGCCGCACTCTCCTCCGTCCTCCCTCCCTCCCGCAGCTGGGTTCAGCGTCCAGCATTTTCAGATCCTCCCGCCGCTTTGGCTACTCACCGGCGCCACGTGCACCTCTGGCTCTGGCTTTTTGCACACACCCACTCGGGTACTTCCGCCTCGAACCTCCTCGGCCACCGTACAGGCGTAGAGTTTTGTTTTTTTTTTTTTAAGAAGACCAGAAATTCGAATAAACTAGTTTGCTTAAAAGAAAAAGAAGAAGAAGAAGAAGTCACCGGCGGAACTAGCGACACTGTCACTTTTCCAAAACAGTCTTCAGCCCTGGAAAAGTAACAATAAATACCATGCAACTGTAACCACTGGTTTACGACGGTTCGAGCACCCTGTCCCGCGCTGGGCAGCGGAAGTGACGTACAATAGCGGCGCCTTTCACAACCTGACACTACCGGAAGTGATGTCGCCATATTGCCCTGGGCGATAGCTGGCGTAAGGGGTCCGCCCCCGCCAGTAAGAGGCTGGCGCCAGTTACTGTTTAGGGTGCGACCGCTCCTGCAGGCGACGCGGACTGCACCGGCGCTCTTGCTTCTCAGGCTGTGAAATGGCCCCCAGCCTCGCTCATCACTTGGTTGCCAACTCCGGCAACTGTGCGGCCACATCTCTGAGGAGCTCTGAGCCGCCCTCTGCCCAAAGGTGGATCTGGCGGCGTCAGAACCCCCGACAGCCAACGGAAAGGTTTCTCTCCGTTCTTTCGAGTTCCTTATTTCTTCCCGACCTTTTGAAGAACGCACCATTGTGGGCTGAACTGTGCCTGTCCTTTTCTCCTATGGTTTCACTCGTTAAAGGAAGAAATGCAATACGTGTGTGTTGTGTGCGCACCCGTGATTTTTTTAAAACGAAAATGTGTTACCTAATAGCAAGCCAAACCATCTTTTTATCTTTTGTACCAGATATTTATTCCTCAAGTACGTTTTGAGCACCAACAGGCTGTGCACCCGTCTGTGCTGGAAGCTCCTGTCTGCTCTCCTTAAGCTCTTGGTGTCTGACGTCAGCTTTCCTTAAATCCTCCAAAACTTCTCTCACAAATGAAGGTAGGGGCCTCTCATTTATTAAATTTGTTTGTCTCTTTTACACCCAAATCCTCTGAGACTTTACTTTGGTATTTGACAGAGTCAACCGCCTCTTCTTTGAATGAGAGTGGAGATTGATACTGTTTCAAAGGGTTATTGTATAATGTTAATAAAGGAGATTTTAAAAGACCTCTGTAAACTTTGCTATGGAAATATTGGGAATTACAGTATGTCTTCTACACTAACGTATACGTTTCTCGAGGGAGCGCCTAATAGTCCTATATCTAAAATAAATCTTTTATAAATGTATTTTAGATTCAGATTTGACAAATGTA